GCATTAAGGCCACATCAAGGGGATGCCGCCGGGAAATTCGAGGCATTATCAAGTGCTTGTCAAATTGTGAATGAGAGACTGATGAAGTGTGTACAGCCTGAGCAAAAAACAAAGCAGTGCTCAAACCTTTCATGCAACTTTTTTCAAATCATTAGTTGCATCATGCAGCCTTAGAATGTATTAAAAGTCAAAACATATAGCCCAACGTTTGTATCACAACAACAGTTACATAAATAGCTCTTAATTACGCATATAGGAGTACCTGTTTCTTTGTTCACCGCTCAACACAGAATAGCCGCATGTTCCCACTCCCTCAAATAATTTGGAGAAAATATCCTTTCTATTTTATTCAGCTATGTTCAATTGTATTCTTCATACTAAACTCAGCAAAAAAAGAAACGTCCTCTCACTGTCAACTGCGTTTATTTTCAGCAAACGTAACATGTGTAAATATTTGTATGAACATAACAACATTCAACAACTGAGACATAAACTGAACAAGTTCCACAGACATGTGACTAACAGAAATTGAATAATGTGTCCCTGAACAAAGGGGGGGGGTCAAAATCAAAAGTAAAAGTCAGTATCTGGTGTGGCCACCAGCTGCATTAAGTACTGCAGTGCATCTCCTCCTCATGGACTGCACCAGATTTGCCCGTTCTTGCTGTGAGATGTTACCCCACTCTTCCACCAAGGCACCTGCAAGTTCCCAGACATTTCTGGGGGGAATGGCCCTAGCGCTCACCCTCCGATCCAACAGGTTCCAGACGTGCTCAATGGGATTGAGATCCGGGCTCTTCACTGGCCATGGCAGAACACTGACATTCCTGTCTTGCAGGAAATAACACACAGAATGAGCAGTATGGCTGGTGGCATTGTCATGCTGGAGGGTCATGTCAGGATGAGCCTGCAGGAAGGGTACCACATGAGGGAGGAGGATGTCTTCCCTGTAACGCACAGCGTTGAGATTGCCTGCAATGACAACAAGGTCAGTCCGATGATGCTGTGACACACCGCCCCAGACCATGACGGACCCTCAACCTCCAAATCGATCCCGCTCCAGAGTACAGGCCTCGGTGTAACGCTCATTCCTTCGACGATAAACGCCAATCCGACCATCACCCCATGTGAGACAAAACCGCGACTCGTCAGTGAAGAGCACTTTTTGCCAGTCCTGTCTGGTCCAGCGATGGTGGGTTTGTGCCCATAGGCGACATTGTTGCCGGTGATGTCTGGTGAGAACCTGCCTTACAACAGGCCTACAAGCCCTCAGTCCAGCCTCTCTCAGCCTATTGCGGACAGTCTGAGCACTGATGGAGGGATTGTGCGTTCCTGGTGTAACTCGGGCAGTTGTTGTTGCCATCCTGTACCTGTCCCACAGGTGTGATGTTCGGATGTACCGATCCTGTGCAGGTGTTGTTACACGTGGTCTGCCACTGCGAGGATGATCAGCTGTCCATCCTGTCTCCCTGTAGCGCTGTCTTAGGCGTCTCACAGCACGGACATTGCACATCTGCAGTCCTCATGCCTCCTTGCAGCATGCCTAAGGCACATTCACGCAGATGTGCAGGAACACTGAGGCATCTTTCTTTTGGTGTTTTTCAGAGTCAGTAGAAAGGCCTCTTTAGTGTCCTAAGTTTTCATAACTGTGACCTTAATTGCCTACCGTCTGTAAGCTGTTAGTGTCTTAACAACCGTTCCACAGGTGCATGTTCATTAATTGTTTATGGTTCATTGAACAAGCATGGGAAACAGTGTTTAAACCCTTTACAATGAAGATCTGTGAAGTTATTTGGATTTTTACGAATTATCTTTGAAAGACAGGGTCCTGAAAAAGGATGTTTCTTTTTTTCCTGAGTTTATAAAATAATGCCACAGAATTCTAAGCTAATCGTGTCTGCTAAATGAACTAGTGTAGCCCACAGCCATATGGCATGGCCAGATCAGGGCCTAACATGAGGACAACTCAGAGTATGTTAGTCTGTTCTTCTGAAATAGACTACATTTCTTCATATCATGTTTCTTTAGACCTGTATAAAATAAATAACGGATTTATTGTGATGGTGTAGTCTATATTACATGGATTTATTCAATTTTTTCAAATGTAGATGTTCCAATTGACCGGCTGACGAAGTTTCATGACCGCCACAGCCCTACATACGGTGTAATGAAATATGTCACGATGGAAGCGAGGCATCACTCATACTGAACAGACATAGCAGTTGATAGACAATTAACACACACATATACAAGAACGAAAAAGCGGCATAGATGCCAAACATATAATCTTTTCACATAAACTGTGTAGAATATTGTGTACTATGCATTTTAGTTTTAATTAGTGGTGTAGTGGAGGGTAAATGCAAGTAAACGCAGTTTACCCACTTTTTTTTTTTTGCCTAACAGTTTACCCACCTTTTGCAGAAAAATGCATTGAAAGTATAGGGAGCGTTACTTTTGTCACCGATTTACCCACCAATTTATTTTCTTATAGTACAGAGGTTGGGATGACAGTCAGTCAGTGGCGATTTTAGCATGTCAATCTTGGTGGGGCAAACTCAAGAAAAAGTTTTTTGATGCATGCCAGCAAAGCCACTACACAACACAACACTAACCAATACATTAATTGCACTATAATGGTGACAAATGGTGCCCACAAACTGTTAGGGCCTACATAAAGCTGTCCCAACCGCAGTCCCAACAGCAGTCCCAACACCTTACCACTGCTACACCTGGATATCAGCTGAGCCTTGTCTGGCAGCGAAAAAGTTCATTCAGCCTCATTTACTGCTAACTTAGCTGATATGGCTGACTTGCTTAAACAAATGTGGTTTCTACTGACAATTGAGATGTACAAACTATGGCATAAGGGGACGACGAGCGGATAAGCAATCCGTAATTTCGATTAAGACATTAATGAGCGAGCTAGGACGGACGTAGTCAATATAACTATTTGTTCAGCACTTTTTAAATGTACAGCGACAGAATTCAGAACATGGGCCGTTCTTACAGTATTCTCCCTGTACACCAAGTCAGAACCGTAGGATAAATAAAGGGGGCATTTAAGCAGACAATGAAAGGTCTAACAATATTAGATGATTGCATTTCTCTAAAACAGGCTATATTGTAAATGTGCACCACCAAGTCAGAACAGTAGGCTAAGTAATTAGGGGAAAAGGGAGCAAGTTATTAGGGTGAGGCACATGGGCTACTAACAGCTTACTACACAACATACACTTAGTATTACTTTCTTAGCTACAGTATACATGTCTCCCTGGCATATTGCATCATTTATGCCGCAGCATGCAAGACATTTTTGGACTCACCTTGTGCTGTGCTCACTTGAACAGGAAGGTGGCGCAGCGGTCGTTCGTGGCAAAGTTTGTCATCAAACTTTGGCATTAAAGTCTGGCATTCTCTGGATATTTGGTGCTTTCAAAGACAACTGGGAACTCAGAAAAAAACAAGGTTGAATCATGACCTCAGTGATCTTCAGGTCGTATCTCTAGAAAGAGGCCCGAGTTCCCGACTTGGAATTCCGAGTTGGATGACCGGTCAAAACGTATTTTCCCAGTCGTAGCTCGTTTTTTTTTTTTTTCAGAGTTCCCAGTTGTCTTCAACTCACTGAAGTTTGAGATTTCCCAGTTTCCCAGTTCCGAGCTTCCAGTGGTTTCGAACGCGGCAGAAGTCATATTGGATTGAAAGCATGGCCAATGTTGAATGTTGATCCTTTTAGGCTTGGAAAAGAGACCCTTAAACCCAGACTTGGACCACACACACACTCCACTGAATAGCAGGCTAGTGATTGCTTTGCAATGCTTGCATTTAGCCACTGATTCCTTCCAAACCACTCATTGTTGAATTTGCAATTTCCAACTTGTTGTGTAATGTTAATGGCCGATGAGCACCGATACGTTTTATCTATAATTCTCTTCATTATTTATCTTCACATGACAAGGATTGAAAAGGATTTGCCAGTAGATTGTCGACTTGATTCATGATGATGACTGCTAGCTTGCTAGCTAAGATTTTGAAAGTATGATGTTGACATGATCAGTCCAATCAAAGCTACGGTATATATAACGTGATTTGACGTCATTTTATCTGTGGCCAATGACCTTCAGCCTTCTTGGATGGGCATTTCTAATGTAATTATATGGCAGCACCCAAGGGGCTTTAATTTTCAAGCTCTCCCCGTAGATTTTGCGGTGACGTAGTGTCCCCATTAGTGACAGAACACTGAGCCAATCACGGCACAAATAGAGAACATTACCAACCCCTACTCTCCGTATTTTCCGCTAGTTGCCCCACCAACACAGAAAGCACTGAGCTAGGCTGAAACACCTGCATTTTGGAGCTGCCTTACTCAAGAAAGCAAAAAAGAGACCATGTTTGTATGCAGCTTTATTAACTCAATTATTATATTATTTTTTTTACATTGTTTGCAACCTGATACGTGACACGTATTAATGCCAAAATAACATGCAAACAATTTATTTATGTAATAAAAAAAATACAAAATGGAGCACAAACCTTTTTTTCTGTGGGAGAGCAAACATGCCCGGTGGGATTCATTGCAGTTTGAAGTAGTCCCGTTTTAAAACGCCACACTGTAAGTATGTGCAATGTGTCAGAATTAATCTCTAATAATGTGTTAGAGAAATTAATTGCTTACCACAAAGCTATGCTCTGCCACTGTATTTTCTGGAGGAAGCCCTCTGTCAAGATGAAGAGAAGAGAACAAAGTAAGGATTACTTTATGTTTGTATTCTTATCTTTTATTATTTCTTATAGTTGTTGCATTGTCGAGAAGGAAACTGCAAGTAAGCATTTTGTTGGACAGTGTATACCATGTGTATCCTGTACATACTCCTAATAAAACACTAAATATTCAGCCACTCATGGAGGACAATGGAAGTTGACTTAAGTCTTTATTCTTTATTATTGACATAAAGATAAACACGTTTCGTCCTGTAGGAAGACATGACATTTCCATTAATTCAATGGGATCCTTTTTCTGCTCCTCCTCGACGACTGCCCTCACCTCTGTCGTCCAGCGCGTTCTGCAGTGCGCCATGGGAGACACCTGCTGGCGCTGGGGCGTGGCTGCTGAGAAACACCTGGACTCCACCTACCTGCTGGCGACAACCTGCGAGGGCCTGGAGGTCAAAGAGCAAATGCCTTGGAATTAAATGCAGCATATGGAATGCAGCTCAATGGCATCTGTTCACATTGACTTACATGGCGTCGATCAACAGTGTCTTATGAATAAGATGTACAGTTTAAGAGAGAGTAAACTATGAAAAGTACCTATCCTAAATGTTGCTTTTCCTCTAGCTGTATTTCCCAGTGTTCTTCTCTTAAGGCCTTGAGGTTTCTATGGGTCGTTGAGGGACAGGGGCTTGATCCAGGAGTACTTCAAAATAAAACACGGAGCATATACGACTGAGAAACTACAATCATCAGCCCCCCCACCCCCGTATAATACGGTGTGTACCACCTTGCGCTGATCATGGACACACGGCTCCCAATGTTTCCTTTAATAGGCAGAAAGGCCAGGAGCAGACACATCCCTACCTGAGAGGATTGACCGTTTGTGTTCATGAGAACTCTTTTTCGATCACAATCTTCACCAGGTCGTTGTCTGCGTGAGGAGAGGAGGAAGAATGCCTCGTATTAGGCCTAAAACAAACTATCAAAGGACATTACAGCAAGCCTGTTAGATATAATCATTCTGATATGTCTACTACCAGAAGATACGCTTTTGACTGGTGCCGTGAGTGAAACAATCCCATCCACTCAGAGCAGTCGAAGTTGGAACTTACCCACTAAGCGGTTCCACCTGATGTCAAGGACATAGAGAGTGGAGTTGGACTTCAGAGCCTCCAGCAGAGACCATGCCCCCTCGTTGGACAAATCACACTTCTGCAGATCCACGGCTAGGAAAACAACTACAGTCAATACCACCAATAATAAATATGTTTTGATACGGTGTGCCCTAATGAACAAGACCATGGATTCAAGCTCAAGGAAAGACCCTGAATAACTGACTTGAAAGAGGGTCAATGAGAGACTGAATGTGTCCCCTAACCTTTGACCAAGAGGACCTCAGCCAGCTCCTGTGCGAGGGCAACCGCCCCTTTGTCTCACACCAGGGTGTTTCAGTTGAGAGTGACCCAGCGGAGGCCTCCCATGCCCTAAATTCAGGCCTTCTGTACCTCCAAGACGCGGCCTAGGCTGCACTGTGCCTACGCATAGCTTGATGCTGCAGTGCAGGGGAGAGGTCAGTCAACGGGAGCTCACACACAACCCCAAACACCACACAATAAGGATGCATGATTCTGCCCATGCAATTGTTGAATGTGTAATGATTTCAATCCAGATCTTCTCTGAGTATGTCATACTCACCATCACCATTAGAGGGAAACAGAGCTCTGGTAGATAGCTGAACATTAGAAAACACAAATTAGAGAAAACACAAGCAGATAATGTAAACATGTTGATGTAGCCTTAACATGCACACGGTGAGCCAAGGAGATATTTTCCAAAGAGACACTTTTGGCTAAACCCTGGTGAGTAACAACAAACTAGTTAGTCAGTGCACTGCGGAACCTTAGGTTGGTTTAGGTTAATGTGCCTCTGCAACTTGCTACCTTGGTGAGAGTGATAAAGTCTCGCTCTCTCTCAATGGAAGACCATGGAGTTGGAGGGTATTGAGGTTTGGTGAAGCTGTCAGACACTCTCGGAGTGTCATACACAGTTTGAATGTCATCTCCTTGGAGCGGATGGCTGGAATCTTCTTCCTAAAGTCCAACCCGTACCTTTCTGAGATGGGTAGAAAGATGAAGGTAGTAATTCATTTTCCAGTCAGAGATCGCACAAGGAATAAGGACAGGTTATGAAGCAAGGGTTCCTACTTAACGTTTCAAGTTGTTTAGCCTACTTGATTCTTACCTGGCTCTCCGACACCGAGACTGTTTTGGTACCAGCTGCTGACCGCGACATGGTGGAGCTGTTAATTGATGGTCAAAGATTTGTCCGTTTGAGCCGAACCCTGTTAAAGTCAAGCATCCCTTGACTCAGGTTTGCCTTGACTGCTGGCAACGGGACTGAGTCCTACATAGCGCACACGTAATCATAATAAGCCTTGAAGTCCTGGGCACCTCTGAACTGAATTTGAAAAGTGTCTAACATTTCCAATCTTGTGGCAGAAAAAACAACATACATTTAAGGATGCAATATGGAGGTTTTAGGAACTTGTCTGCTTCAAATTGTTTGCTTGAATTGTATTTATATGATATCATATAGCTAATATTAATAAATTGTATCTCATGAAACTACATAAATCTTTAGTTTTAGGCAAACATAATGCTTTTGCTCATGCCATGAGTGTAGGGAGGTCAGAAGTGCAGCTTTCTGTCCAATTAGATACTTTCTGGACAATATTTCTGTCCAATGGGGGACCCCTTTTGGCTCAAGAGAACCCAGTGACAAAAGTTTCTTATAGCCTCTTTTAGCTGCTAGCTAGGTTCACTTCAAAAGTAGCTAGCTAGTCTATGTTTGGTTCTGATTTGGTTCGGCCTTGATTTCAACATCCAAAGACGTCCGGTCCAGACTGGCCTATATGTGGCCGAAACATAGACATCTATGATTGGTTCAGATTTGGTCCGAAACATAGATGTCTATGATTGGTTCAAATTTGGTCCGGCCCAGACCAAATCTGAACCAATCATAGACATCTATGTTTCACACGTTTGGACAGCACAGTACAGTACAATAGAGCACAGTTGTCAAGGCGTGCTGTAGGTGCAGTGGCGGAATCAAACGCAGGACGCAGACGGATAATCCAACAGACTTGTATTAAGCCGAAACACGGCAAACGGACAACACTTGCCCGAAGGCGAAATACGCACGAAGGCGAAAAAGAAACAAAACAGCGCACAAACAGGTGCGTAAACTCCAGCGCAGTGGAGAGAAGCTCAACCGAGCGAAAACACGTCTGACACAATCAATAATACACAACACCTGACAAACACAACGGGAACTAAATAGGACACTAATGACACTAACTGAAAACAGGTGTGACAACACTCAGACAAAAGCAAACGAACATGAAACATACAACGGTGGCAGCTAGTATTCCGGAGACAACGAACGCCGAAGCCTGCCCGAACAAGGGAGAGAGGCAGCCTCGGCCGAAACCGTGACAACAGTACAAGACAGTCAATGAAAGAGGGTCAATGAGAGACTGAATGTGTCCCCTAACCTTTGACCAAGAGGACCTCAGCCAGTAACAAAAAGTGAAGTATAGTTAATGAAGCTGCCAGTTGAGGACCTGTGAGGCGTCTGTTTCTCAAACTAGACACTCTAATGTATTTGTCCTCTTGCTCAGTTGTGCACCGGGGCCTCCCACTCCTCTTTCTATTCTGGTTAGAGACAGTTTGCTCTGTTCTGTGAAGGGAGTAGTACACAGTGTTGTACGAGATCCTCAGTTTCTTGGCAATTTCACGCATGGAATAGCCTTCATTTCTCAGAACAAGAATAGACTGACGAGTTTCAGAAGAAAGTGATTTGTTTCTGGCCATTTTGAGCCTGTAATCGAAACCACCATTTCTGATGCTCCAGATAGTCAACTAGTCTCAAGAAGGCCAGTTTTATTGCTTCTTGAATCAGCACAACAGTTTTCAGCTGTGCTAACATAATTGCAAAAGGGTTTAATAATTATCAATTAGCCTTTTAAAATGATAAACTTGGATTAGAAAATACAACGTGCCATTGGAACACAGGACTGATGGTTGCTGATAATGGGCCTCTGTACGCCTATGTAGATATTCCAGCTACAATAGTAATTTACAACATTAACAATGTCTACACTGTATTTCCCAAAAAAAATTGCTTTTCTTTCGAAAACAAGGAAATGTCTAACTGACCCCAAACTTTTGAACAGTAGTGTACACCTGATAGATAGTCACCTGGGTTTATTTTCAGTGTAACCCACCCTTATTACGATCATTTACTGGAACACCTCACGGTCAAAGGCCAACATGTTTTCAGGAAATGAATTTACAATGCCAATCACAATTTACAGCTTTGTTCATAGCTACCACATAAATTCCACTTATCATTGCCCTATGTCACGTAACGTTCCTTGGTGAAAGCATGCAGGACGGGACAGTTTATAAAGAGCAGAGCAACCTCTACTACACTCATCACTCCATCACTGGCCTACCTGAGAAAAGACTACCTGTGATTTACCGACGGCTACAGATAACCAGCAAAATCACCATGAAGGTCCTGATCATCTCTGTGTTACTCTGTGTGGCCTTAACTCTGAGGGAAGCAGCAGGGCAGCAGCAGGCTGTGGCAGTGGAACAACTGAGCATTGTTCCAGTTCTAGGGGAGGCTGAAGAAGAGACAGGGCCACTGAAGCCGCTGGGTGACACTCCAGTAGAGCTTGCTCTACCCGAAGAAGGGGAAGCTGAGGCTGATGCTCTTGAGCTGGTCCAAGCACCAGCGATAAGGTTTTTGCACTGCCCTGACGGTTGGTACCTACATCAGTCACGCTGTTTCCTCTTTGTGAACTCATACTTGTCGTGGCACAATGCAGAGGAACACTGCAACACTCTGCATGCAAACCTGGCCTCCGTTCAAAACCCCAGGCAGTATCGCTTCCTGCAGCAGTTAACGACAATGGCCAACCAGCCCAGCGCGTGGATTGGTGGATTCTATCTCCAGGACAGGTGGCTGTGGATCGACCGTGTAGGATTCTACTACGAAAACTGGTACACACACCTTGATGTGGACCGCAACGCTTGCATCCATCTGCGCACCTCAGTGGGCTGGTCAAATGATCACTGTGGCACAGGTTTCCCATTCATCTGTGTGAAAATGTCCTGTTAGTCAAGATTGTGCTTCCTGCCAGTAGCATGATTTCAGTAGGAGAAAGCATTGTTAGTTAGTTGATGTTATTTCTAACTGCTTTCAACATTTAATTTATTTTATTAGTCTTTATTCAGTCACTCTGGATGTCTGCCAAAAGGCTAAATGTGATGTAGGCCAGATGCAGTCATTAGGTAGGTATCCATTGACCCAGGTGACGTCATTACGTCCAGCCGTTTTTACCGACACAAGATAGTTAAATGGAAGCGCACCGTAGTAGGCAATTGACGCATCTATTTTCTATGCGAACTTTCTACATTTTTACAAAAAAGCACTGGACAAGTTAATGGAAACATACAGGAGCTACTGATAATTTTTAAGGTTTGCGGCACGTGATTTTATGAACTATAAAGCTCCACTCCACATTTAATTCTAATGTCTACTGCTCACAAAATCAATTTATTCAACAATAAAAATCATGTTTATTTGCGGGATAAGGATTGTATTGACTTTCAAGAATGCCTGAGTTGCTTCACATTGCAATTTCACCATCAAATTGTTTCAGATCATCTAGGCCTGCGTGACTGCAAGTTACATCATGGCACGGACCGTGGCGATAAGTAGGCACAGGAGAATGATAAGAATATGGCAAATATTAGTACATTCTTGTATTAGATGCATCCTGGCTTTTGCGGTCTACCTGAGAAATTAAAGATAGGTGGGCTGGGCTTGCAGGCTGTCGCCACTTTATTAATGCACAATTTGTCTAATAGGATAATGATTACACTTCAACCACATTTCTATTCGACAGGTTTTTGCAGATCTTTATTTTATTTTCTTTGGTGTGACGTCATTACGTCCAGCTGTTTTTATCGACACGACAGTTTAATGGAAACACACCGTGGCAGGCAATTGTCGCGTCTATCTATGTGATTTTTTGTGTGTCGACATAAAAATCACTGGACAAGTTAATGGAAACATAGCTATTGTACGTTTTGTATTACCTATGTAATTGCTTTCCTGTAATAAAGATGTTGTGGATTTGTTTTCTTCTTTCTTTCTTCTTAGTATAGTGGTTTACATACCATAGCAGACTGGCAGCAACACTTTGGCTAATGTTTACCTGTGAGGGTTGCCCTTCATTTCAGACACAGGTTGACTTGTGTCCCCTGACAGCAGATCTGGGACAAGGCACATATCCCTAAATGCTCCTCATTCATTTTTATGACACCATTTCATGGCTTAAATGGGTTGTTTAAATTACCAACACTCAATTCCTCAGTGAGATAAACTCAATTGTAACTGTTAATTAGTATGCAAATAGAGCATCCAGGACTGGCAATGAGAGGAGCCACAGGTCTTAAATAAACAAAAGTCTAGTTCCATGGCTCAATGATAATGTTTTACATAGTATAATGAGTTGTACATATTATAATTTTTTAAATAAAAGGTGTTACATATAATTATTTGCTCTGTAGGCCTACTCTATTTTGACACCCTCCAACCCCGTAACAAACATGATTAAAAACAAAGGAAACATCAACCAGGTCACCGAGAACTAGTTCCATTAACTTTCAATCACTGTAGCTATATTCATTCCATGACCAAGGTAATGATCCATCATGCAGAAATCATTTGTCCATGTGTTTTTTCAGTGCTGATACAGAAGCCCAACCTGTACTGTATTAAGGAAGGGGTGCTAGACCCGAAGCATGGACCAGTGAGGCTCTTTTAAGATGACCAATTAAACAGATAAAATGCCTTTCGCTGCTCATTTAATTAAAATGTGCATAATAGAAGTACTCAAGGAAATTTGAGAAGTGCAGTATCCTGTCCATTACCCCATAGACAGGATGCACAGCAGTGCCCTATTATTTGAGTAAACACAGTGAGTGAAGAAGCACAATATCGCCTTGTTCAAAATGGTAGTTCAGGTACATTAGCCTATAGCCCTATGATAGCGCTGCAATAGGTCTACAGGCCTTGAATGGGTTTGTGTTCCACTCACTCAACAACATTTATTTTCCTTTTCTTGCAGTCATGTTTTTAAATCCTGTGAGTTTGCAGTGCAGGAGTTCAGGGATTTTACACCTCAGATTCTATGAGGTTGTGTGGGCTTCAAATCATAAATTGCACATATTCCTTGGATCAAACTGTGACTTGAAAATAAACAGCAACTCAGATACTTACATTTTACATTTACATTTTAGTCATTTAGCAGACGCTCTTATCCAGAGCGACTTACAGTTAGTGAGTGCATACATGTTTTTTGTTGTTGTTTTTTTCATACTTGTAGGGCCATAATTGTAGGGCCT